AGAGTACATCGAAGTGCGGTACATTATTCAACTAAATCTTTTAGTAGAACGGTCATGTGGGCAGTTATTCACGACATTATATGGTCTGGATTTAACGCTGCGCTTTATAGCGCCTTGTTTACAGACAACAGTGAGTCGGTCTTCTGTCTTAGTCCATGCTTGGCGTCCCTCCCATTGCCCTCCGTAAGTCGACATGTTAGCAAACCAATTACGAGCCGTACACCATTACTCTGTCACGAGGTTGCCTGTCTACACTTATGATGCACTACTGGTGTGATCTCATAAAGCATCTGATGAAGACTGACCCACTGTTGTAATTCCAACATAGAAGACTATGACATACTAGTGCGAATCATACTTCGAAAAATCCAAAATACATTTTTCCAAATGCGCATAAAATACTAATCTTATATGAAAAAGATAACCATGACCTTGGTCACACGAAACATTGAATACATGTTCTTTTGGGTACATACAATTTCTTAATTTGCTCACACATCAAGGATTTTTATCTACTGCATCGTACAATTTTCTATTTTTCTGTTCTGGGAATAGTAAACACCGCCAGCCAACCATCTTCCTGTACAACCGAAAAAAAAAAAAAACTGAATGAAAAATAGAGAGAAGCACGCACCATTTCCTTTCCGGATACACTTAATATATTAGACAAACACCATTTTGATATCTGTTGATCGTCATTTCCTGTTGCTTGCGTTGGCTACCCACTGTGAATGTGTTGCTCCTCATTAATTATAATAATTACTGCTTGCGCCATAATACAAACATGTCACAATGCTATTTAACTTGTTGTTGTTTATTTGCCATTTTTGGCCTTTTCCAGTTACTCTGCTCGTGCTCTTCTCGCTCATGATTTAAGTAATCACAACCTCAATGTATTTTTACTACAAACATAGATTTGTTAATGCAAAACTATTCAGAATAAAGCTTAACAAAACAAATCACAAATAAAGAATAAAGCTTTACGAAAATAGTTGGTTTCATATTTAACTACGCATGAATATTAAACGGTGCTATGGTCGGCTGTAAAGGGATATCAAATTTGAGTATAAAAGTGTGGTTACCGGAATGTATGAATTTACGAGTTTAGTGACATGCGAGGTTAATTACATATAATTATAGTATGAAAAGGAAGTTAAATTATATAATTTCTTAATAATAAATTGTTTTATATTTTTAGTAATATTAAGGTTTCATATCTTCTTCTTTGATGGCGAAGACACCGCTTACGCGGTTATTGCTGAGATACAAAAGTGCGCCAGTCGTTATTACTTTTTGCTGTTTGTAGCCAATTGGAGAAGTCAAGTACATCCATGTCCTTCTTCTCCTCCCTTATGACTTCGAAGTTGACATGGGAGCCAAGTTGCGAGTGCGACGACTGCTTGTTTGATGACAGGATATACTTATTTCATCTTGCCCTTCTTCACTAACAGACAGTAAGCGATTTTGCTTTTCTATTCAGATCTGCAGCTCGAATTATTTTCTCCAGCAACAGATTGAAGAAGGTATAAGATAAGGAAGCGCCAAAGAGGTGGTGTGTGTCGATCCTCCATTCACGGGTTTTTCCAAGATTTGGGGAATGCTKAATATATGGTCAGTTGTTGTTTTTCCAGTTCTKAAGTCACACTGATAAGGTCCAAACAGTTTGTTCTTTAAACTTTCAAAGAGTACGTTCGATAAAAACTTATATGCTTGAGGAAACTTTCGCCACGGCAGTTGTCGCAGATCGTGGGGTCTCGCTTTTTGTGGATTGATTAGCAGAGCACACTTAATTTCTAATGGACGGGTATGCTTTCATTCGCCCACATTCTACAAAGA